TTTTTTTGGTTGGAGGCAGGATCTCCTCCATAGTTCAGGCTGGCCTTGAACTCACTGTGTAGCCAACGCTGGCCTTGAACCTGTAGTCATTCTGCCTCAGCCTGTTGAGTGCTGGGGTTGCAGGTGTGTGCCACTGTGCCAAGCGCCATAGTTAATTTTTTAAAAACATTGAAAAAACACTTTAAGAAGAAAGCTAGGGGCCAGGGAGATGGCTTAGTGGAATAAACACTTCCCTGGCAAGTGCCAGGGCCCGAGTTCAATCCCTGGTTCTGCCAAAAAAAAAAAAAAGAAGAAAGCTAGATTCAAAGTTACCTGTGATTTTTACCCCTTCTGTGGAAGGCAAAATTCCAGTATGCCCTGCCCACCAAAGTTTCCCACCCATGATGCACATGTGAATGTGATGGACTGTAGTTCCCAAGATGTTATGGGAAAGGTGAAGGGGTGTGTTTTGGGGGGGTACCAGGAATCAAACTCAGGACCTTGCCCTTGCCAGGGAGGCGCTTATGCTTTTGAGCTATCTCCCTAGCCCCAGGTGAAGAAATTTTGCAGATGTAATTTAAGACCTGTAGTTGTTTGGTCTCAAATTAAAAGATTACGCTGGTGGGGCCGAGGAGATGGCTCAGTGGAATAAGCGCTTCCCTGGCAAGGGCAAGGACCTGAGTTCAATCCCCAGTTCCACCAAAAAAAAAAAAAGAAAGAAAAGATTATGCTGGGCCTGGCGTACCCAGAGGAGCCTCTTAGAAGGGTGTGCAGAAGTAAGGCAGGTGGGCATTAGAATGCCTAGCGAGCATGCACAAAGCCAGTGTTCAGCCCCAGGCACAGCAAAAATAACTGGTGGGCAGAAACACGGAGGTGTTCCCTTGGTAGCCCTGGTGGCCCTCCCCACTGCCAACTTGTGGGGAGCGTTAGGTGTCTGGGAAGTGGTGCACCCTAGGAGTTGAGGGTTGGGGTTCCACAGGCACAGGACCTGAATTGGGGCTGGAAGAGACCCCGGAGCCCCGGGTGAGATGGCAGCCCTGCAGCGCTCACTGCAGTCGCGACGTAACAACGCACCTCCCAGCCAGCATATGTGGGCTTGTTGTCCAGGCAACAGTTCGTGTTCTGTTCCTCGTGCTTCTGTCTCAGAAACAGCTGGTCACTGCTGCGCTTTGCATAGCCCCATCCCGTTATCGAGCCATTCTGCCTCTGTGCTTCCTGCTTGCCTAGCCCATGAGTGCCTGAGACCACCAGTGATGGGGCCTGATATTCCGGGAATGATCCCAGTCACCACCTGTCAACATAAATCTGCCTCCAAATCCTGGGTGTCCTTTCAGTGTTTCTGTTTGCCTTTGTAGTGAGTCCCTGGACAAAGGACCACTTAACATGTTTAGACTCCTGACCTATGGAAATAGATAAGAAGGGTTCACTTTTTTTTTTTTTTTTTGAGCTGGGGGTCTCATCATGTAGTTCAGGCTGGCCTTGAGTTCACTTTGTAGACCAGTCTGGCCTCAAACTCCTACTGATCCTCCTGCCTCAGCCTCCCAAGTGCTGTGTTCCTTCTTTTTTTAGCTGTTCAGTTTTTATTGAACATGTTACAAAATGAGGTTTAGTCGAAAAGCCCAAAGCTCGGGGCTGGTGAGATGGCTCAGTGGTCTAAAGCACCTACTTAGAACAAGCTAAGCTAAGCAAAGCACAGGGACCACGGTTCAATCCCCAAGCACCACATACCAGCCAGCCCCACCCCCTGGTGGGCTGAGCTGGCCACACACACACAAAATAAATAAATAAATATTTAAAAAAAAAAGAAAAGCCCAAAGCTCATGTCATCCTCAGATTCCGCCGATTCTTCTTTCATTGCTTTCACCTTCTCAACTGGCGCAGCAGCGGTGGAGGGCACCAGGCACCTGTAGGCGCAGCGCCTGCCATGGGGGAGGCCTCCAGCCCCTGCACCGCAGATGAGGCTCCCGATGTTGACATTGGCGAGGGCCTTTGGAAAGAAGCTGGGCCAAAAAGGTTTACACTGACACCAGCTGCTTTAATGAGGGCATTGATCTTACCCTCTGTCATGGTCACCTTGGGGTCGTGCAGGATAGGGCGGAGTAGATGCAGGCGAGCTAGGAGACAGAGACCATGAGGCGGGCTGCCAGGCGTGGTGCTAGTCGCCAGAAGTGAGGGCCTCTCCCCCATGCGGCCTTAGCTTCCACGGAAGGACCGAGCCCCTTGGTGGCGGCTGAGGAAAACTTCATTCTTCGAAGATGGCAAACTCATGGTGATTAGTTATGAAATGCTAAGAATGCAGCTGGTAAAAATAATTTAAAAAATTAATAGATTCAAGAGCCATTCTGAAATGTTTCCCCTAGAACTGAAGCAGCACCCCCAAAGAAGAGACCCTCTCCATCCTGCCTTGCCCCAACATTGGACTTGTGGGGACAGTGGGCCATGATTCCATGAACAGCAGAGAAACTACCAGGCACTGAGTGTCGCTGTGTGTCGCGCCCAGGCCCTGCTCCGTGCTGGCAGTGCTGTACTAGTTAGCTGCACCCCCAGCCTCCTTTTTTAATTTTCATTTTGAGAGAGGATTTCACTAAGTTGCCCGGATGGCCCTCACCTTCAGACTCTCCTGCTTTGGCCTCCTATGTTGCCTACCCAGGGTCTGGTTTTATATAGCTTGGAGTAGTGAGGATGACACCTGCAGTTTCAAATGTTGAGGGCAAAAAAAAAAAAAGTATTTCTTGAGGTATGTTCAGTATAGACTCAGCATTCATAAGTAAATTTCAGCATCCATAAGTATTTTGGAGCACAGTTATAAATTGGCTGTTTTCGTGCTGCAGCAGCAGAGCTGAGTAGTTGGGTCATGCAGGAGTCCCCTCCTGGTTCTTGTCTTGGCCCAAGAAGTCTATACTTACAATCCTAAAGTTACATTATTGGAATCCCACCAAATGAATTCCAATCTACCACTCTCTGTAACCCATGGTGAAAACAAAGACACCAAGACATACCTAGTCATGGGGGCGCCAAGGGGCCTTAAGACCAGCCACAAAGATGGCTTTCCGGAACAGAGAGACCTGACCCAGGGCTACACCAGTGTTTTATTCAGCTGAGAAGAGGGAATGACTTGGAGAGAATTGTGGGAAGTAGGTGAGTACGGTGAGCAGGCCTAGGTAGGTGGCTACATTTCTGCTGTGTGCAGAAGATGTGCAGAGTAATTTGCATTATGCTGCTGAGATAGCATCTAATGTTTCCACGGTTTGGTGCCTTCAGCTCTGATGTGTAACCTTTTTTTTTTTTTTCAAAGTTTTATTGACAAAGAGATAGCAATGAGACAGTTTCAAATCAAATCGGAATGATGTGTAACCTTTAAAGCCTCAGGAAGTCACAGCCTCAATCTTGAGGCTTGATCCCAGCCAGCAGCGTGGAGCACTGGCTCTTCATCCTGTCTTGACCTGGCTCAGATTGGAGAGCAGCAGTGTGGGTTATCAGGGAAACACGCATGCGGTCTTCAAAAATTACCACCGGAGGGGCTGGTGAGATGGCTCAGTGGTCTAAAGCACCTACTTAGAACAAGTTTAGCAAAGCACAGGGACCGCGGTTCAATCCCCAGCACCACATGCCAGCCAGCCCCGCCCCCTGGTGGGCTGAGTTGGCCACACACACATAAATAAATAAAAAAAAAAAAAAATTACCACCGGAGGCCGGGGTGATGGCTCAGTGGAATAAGCGCTTCCCTGGCAAGCACAAGGGCCTGAGTTCAATCCCTGGTTCCGGGGGAAAAAAAAAAATTACCACTGACACCTCAGCTAGACCAGTATACACTGCTTAACGTCAAATGAAAGGATAGGGGCCGGGGAGATGGCTTAGTGGAATAAGTGTTTCCCTGGCAAGCGCAAGGGCCTGAGTTCAATCCCCAGTTCCGCCAAAAAAAAAAAAAAGGATAAAGAAGGCCTAGTCAGCTCTGTACATATCAATACAAGGAAATAGGGTCAGAAAAAAAAAAAAAAAAGAAAAAGAAAGAAAGAAATAGGGTCAGGTTGAAGACAGTCACTCTTCTTTCAAGAGGACAGCTGCCCAGGACTTCGAGCTTGCCAGGCTCAGCCCTGAGCTCCATCCCCCGCTCGTAACCCCAGGGTCCTGGGAGAAAGCTCCTTGCACAGTGGTGTCTCAGCAGCCACCCCAGGCTCTCCGTGAAATCCTCAGTAGGAGCAGGAGTGGGGAGGCGCCCAGAAGCTGCGGTCTGTCGCAGCCTCAGCAGTGTGCCGGGGGCGTCCCCGAGCTGCTCCCACCCCGCGAGGACGGAGCCGCCGGGGCCTGCAGGAGCCTGCTTGGCTGCCGCAGCTCACCAGGAACGAAGCCCTCTTCTCGCGGTGCCTCTCCAGGGCCCTCTGCTGGCAGGCTGCGGATCTGCTTGCCCTGCTTGGCGGGCCTGCAGGCTGAGGGAGAGCAAACCCTCAAAGGCACAGTGCGCCTTTGGCGGCTCTTTGATGCTGTGCGTGCTAAGCTCAAGGCCCACCAGTGAGTCCCCACCCGCGTGTGAGTTTCAGCCCGCAGGCCAGTGATTTCTAAACTGAGCTGACTGCCAGGAATTCTCTCCTTCACTGTGACT